CAAATGCTTTATAATATAGTATAGACTAGTTGTGTACCCGCATAATGCGGTGGGAGCCATGAATTTTATTGATTTTGAAGTTCCACTGGTTTTATAAGATAAGATTTAACGATGATATATGTTACACTTGGTCTTTATATATTAATACTATTTGAATAAATAAGAGTTATAGTTCCAATTACAGACTATCGATGAAAAAAATTGTATGACAGTATAAAATCCAATATATTTAAAATCCAACATATTTAAACAACTCCACAAATGTATTCGATTTACATCAAGAGCAAATAACCAAGAAACTTGAGTTTTAAGATAAACACTCAAAACCAATAAAGAAAACTACAAATTTGAGAGATCAAAAACCATGAAAAGACAAAAAAAGATGGGGTTTAGAATGAAATTTCAACTGTTTACCCTCTTTCTTGTCCAGAAACTCAGATTAAGGTTGAATTAATACATGTATATATATATTTCAAAAAAACCCAAGAACATATTATACAGTGCAATTTGGACAACCTAACCCCAAAATATATAGTATATATATAAATAAATAACCATAAAAGTACAAATCGTAAATATTAAAAATATTTTTTCACAATATATAATATATAATATATAATTAAGTAAAGACTATTCAATATTAGACTCATTTCGAAGGTATTAACGAGACGGTTATAATGGTGTAACTTGTTAAAATAAAAATATATTTTTTAAACATGTTTTAATTGATATACGATTATGTATATTAATTTGATAAAGGTTTAAAATGAAAAATTTAAAAGTAAAAGACGTAAAGTTAATTAATTAACTAATTATATGGGTATAAATTATAAATTTAAAATTACAATTTAAAAAAAATAGGGTTGTGAGAGAGTGAGTGTATGTGAGGGGGTGAGTGTATGTGAGTAGAGGAAGGGGGTGAAAAAGTGTTATAAATGATATCTTAGTCATTTAGTATTTTAAGACTTTAAGGCTTTTGTTAAATTTGTTTTATAAGATAGTATAGATGATAGTAATGATGGGGAATCGTGATTGCAAACTATCAAAATCTCGAAATTGGTCTTCACTTATATACGATAAACAAAATTAGATTGTGTATACATATCCATTCATCCAAAATTAGATTGTTTCCAATGTGTGTCGTTATCGGACATTTTAGTATTATCAACATGATCTTCGTCGACGTTATTTAAACATAACGCGTCGTAAATCTCACCAGTTTAATTTTCAACACTGATAATGTTTATTAATGGATTTAAATCCATGACATGTATGAACACGAGTTAGTTCTCTAAAATATTTTTTGACGTAAATATGTTGGAGGAAATACATGAATACAAAGAGAAACAGATAATGAAATAGTCTGGATAAAACCATGAGATCACGTAAGAGCTCGTTTTCCCTAAGTTGTATTTCATCCTGAATTTGTCTGGATTTTAAGAAATCAACTCGAAGATAATCTCAGGTATTCAGTAACGATTTTGGCAGAAACGGTTTTCTTTTAAACTTAGAGAATCATAGTTGTTCCTAAATTAATACCAAAAGCATATACTTGCTAAATGGAAATGATTGCTAGAGTAATTCATGGGTGGTTACCAAAATGGAAATTACCAAAATAACTGTTACCAAAACTGTATACAAATCAAAAGGCTTCAGAGAAGTCTGAAGCCCTTCAAAATCCGAAGCTCCGACAACACCACTTCAAAATCAGAAGCTTCTTAACAAGACTCAGAGGCTTGTAAATTCCACTTAGAACATTCAAAAACTCGTTTTCCCCTAGAATCTTCATAAAATCGGTAGAGGTTTCGAGGAGTTGCACCTTGGATATACACTTGTGGGACCACCACCAGGGGCACTACCCCTTCAACCCTGCTAGGGGGCCGACCCCCTTAACCCTCATATGGCACCATCCAACAATCCCTAAGTTCTAGCTAGGTTACACGAGTCTGCATTGCACACCACCTAACCCGTGATATAACTTAACTACCAACCACATATTCTACTGTAAATCTAATTACATAAAATGAACTGACGATTTCACTAAAATTACCCACATAATAAATGTTCAAATAATTTATACATGGAATTCTTCTGAAATAACATATCAGACTCTTCATTCAAAATCGGAATTCTGTAAAACCCCTTGTTCTACGAATCTGATATATTCTTGTATTGTTTATCAATGTAATGTAACATTTTTGTATGATCTATCAATTTTTGTTGAACCACTTTTTTCAACAAAATTAATTATGTGAATACAAC